CCCCTTTGCATATTTCTGGTTACCTTGTTGTTGTTGTTGTTGTTGTTGTTGTTGTTGATGTTGCTGTTTAGTCGTGTAGTCGTGTCCGACTCTTCGTGACCCCATGGACCAGAGCACGCCAGGCACTCCTGTCTTCCACTGCCTCCCGCAGTTTGGTCAAACTCATGTTTGTAGCTTCAAGAACACTGTCCAACCATCTCATTCTCTGTCGTCCCCTTCTCCTTGTGCCCTCCATCTTTCCCAACATCAGGGTCTTTTCCAGGGAGTCTTCTCTTCTCATGAGGTGGCCAAAGTATTGGAGCCTCAGCTTCAGGATCTGTTCTTCCAGTGAGCACTCAGGGCTGATTTCCTTCAGAATGGATAGGTTTGATCTTCTTGCAGTCCATGGGACTCTCAAGAGTCTCTTCCAGCACCATAATTCAAAAGCATCAATTCTTTGACGATCAGCCTTCTTTATGGTCCAACTCTCACTTCCATACATTACTATTGGGGAAACCATATCTTTAACTATACGGACCTTTGTTGGCAAGGTGATGTCTCTGCTTTTTAAGATGCTGTCTAGGTTTGTCAATTAAAAGAAGCAGGTGTCTTTTAATTTCGTGACTACTGTCACCATCTGCAGTGATCATGGAGCCTAGTCCATGCAATGTGAGAGGATCCACCAAACCAAACGTACTGTACCAGTTCTGTATTGTCAGCCTGCAAGCTGTTTTGCAACCTTCCTGTTTTGAGAGTCCTAGGTAGGGGATAAAGTCAAGAAGTTTATCTAGTCCCCAGGTGGGCTGCTTGTCCGGGAGCTGTATCTCTAGTATCAATGTCTAATGTCGCTGCATTGCAGGGGGTCAGACTAGATCAGTAGTGTCCAAACTTTTTCCAAAGAGGGCTGGATTTGATGAAGTGAAGGGCCGTGGGGGCCAACCAAAGGGCCAACCAAAGTTATTGACCTTTTTTTAGGATTGAAGTGGTTGAGGTTTTTTTTTAGGATTTTACGCCAGGAAACAAACTGCCACGGGGGCCATATTAAACCAACCAGTGGGCCAGATTAGGCCCCCAAAATGGACTTTGGACATGCCTGGACTACATGATCCTCAGGGTCCCTTCCAGCTGTATGATTCTCTGATTCTTGCACAACAGACCTGCTTTCCCCAAAATGTAGGCCTTTCTGTGACAAGGAAATGCACTGGAAAATGTGGGATAACATTTGTGTTCTTGCAATGTCACCTAACCTTCCCACAAACAAGACAGAATGTGGATACTCGTTGAATAGCCAATGTCATCTAATCTCCCTATAGGGATGTGGGTGGCGCTGTGGTCAGTGGCGAAGCTGCATGCTCTGACACTGGGGGTGGAGAGCAGGCAGGGGCGTGACACGCCATCTGCGGGGGGTGTGGCTCTCAGTGCGGTGGGGGTGTGCGTGGCACATGTCCAGGGGGGCAGCTGCGATGGTACCACCCTCCCCGATGGTGCCAGGGGCGGTGTGCTTGCCCCGCCGCCCCCCATTCCTCTGCCAGTGGCTGTGGTCTAAACCACTGCACCTCTTGGATTGCTGATCAAAAGGTTGGGGGTTCGAATTCACAGGACGGGGTGAGCTCCTGTCTCTCTGTTCCAGCTCCTGCCAACCTAGCAGTTCAAAAGCATACCAGTGCAAGTAGATAAATAGGTACTGCTGCGGTAGGAAGGTAAACAGCATTTCTGTGCACTCTGGCTTCCGCCACGGTGTCCTGTTGTACCAGAAGCGGTCTAGTCATGCTGGCCACATGACCTGGAAAGCTGTATGTAAACAAACACCGGCTCCCTCGGCCTGAAAGTGAGATGAGCACTGCAACCCCATAGTCGCCTTTGACTGGACTTAACCATCCATGATTCCTTTACCTTTTATCTTTACCTAATTTCCCTGCAAACAGATCGGGAGAAATGCTCAATAAACAGATTGTCTGGAAGTGGACACACTGAAAAGTGTGGAAGGAACAAATGGTTAAACACCTCACAAGCAAATCGGGATGAATGCAGGATGTTCATTGTCATATAACCTCCCTGCAATCATATTACAGTGGTACCTCGGGTTACAGACGCTTCAGGTTACAGACTCCGCTAACCCAGAAATAGTACCTTGGGTTAAGAACTTTGCTTCAGGATGAGAACAGAAATCACACTGCAGCAGCAGGAGGCCCCATTAGCTAAAGTGGTACCTCAGGTTAAGACCAGTTTCAGGTTAAGAATGGACCTCCAGAACGAATTAAGTTCTTAACCTGAGGTACCACTGTATAACCAATGCTGGACTGGACATAGTCTGACTCCTGCATAAATTTTGTGCAAGCAAATCAGAATAAATGCTAAATAAATATGTCATCCTGAGGGTCTCCTGAGGCTGGGAATCGGGTTTGCAGTTTTAATTCTGGCAGGAGCAATTTTAATTGCTGTGGGTGTGGTCTCCCCCTTGTAGAGATAGGGAAAGTGACACCTGCTGAATTTCTGCCTGTGGCTTAGCTGAGAGAGAGAAAGGCTAAAGGACAGACTAGGCTCCTCTTCCCCCCAGCAGTCACATACTCAAAGGCCTTGAGTTTAGAAGAAACAATAACTATTTCTGGCAAATGCTTGGTGCGACTTCAAAAGAAGTGTAAAAACACCAGTGGTTAACAGAGTAGCAAAGTGGTTACGAGAAAGCGAAATGGGCCTTCCTGTGTGCAGAGTTCATCCTCCTACCTTTCCTGAAAGGCTGAAAATTTAGGTCCTTTAATAATTTCCCTGGGAGTAAGTCCCATTGAACTTAATAAGACTTGCTTCAGAGTAGGCATTCATAGGATAGCACTATTAGTACACTCTGTTTTACATCTGTTCTTACTCAAGATAGTTTGTCTGTGCTAGATTTTCTCTCTCTTTTTTGTAAAGTAACTGTTTCCCAGAAATGGCAATATGCCGAGGGGATTCACAAGCAAGGTAAAATTGGTATGAATAGCTTAAAAACGGAGGGGAGGGCAGAATATTTCTAATATTTTTACATAATAATATTTTATTCTTCTTCCATATTGAAAGTTACATTTGTTACTCAGCGGTTATATTCCAAAACAGCAAAACTAGGGACTTCCTGCTCACCCAACGTCAATTTTTATAACCCAAATTACATACAGTTGCGTTTTAAGGTTCCGCCTTACCTAATTTCATCTTCTTTGGCGGGTTTCTTCATACATTCTGCTTCTTTTCTTGCGCTTCTAATATTCAAAATGTTGGAAATTGAGAATGCTCTGATTACAAAGGAAATTGTAGCATCCTGTCACATCCTAAGTATATTTGCTCTAATTATCTCAGTTTGAACCCAGGAATCGGTTGTGAGGCCATTCACAGATCCACAATATCTCTTGATTTCCTGCTGCTTGATTTCTTAACACTTGAGACCCGCATCTGACTGTGTGAACTGCCCCCTTCCATTTTCAACAAGTGCATTTGAATGCTCATTCGGTGCTATAACTGGGGGGGGGGGGGCAGCTGCAACAAAATGTTGCAGTATATGACAACCTCACTCTTGTTTAGGGTTGCCCAACAGGCCTGAGCCTTGTAGGCTACAAGCTGAGGAAGGTGAGTGAGACACATTTGCTCTCAGTGGTGGGGCTCTCAATGCTGGCTCAGTGGGGGGGGGGGATCCCTGACATCTCCAGACAGGACAGAGAGAGATCCTGGTCTGTAATCCTGGAGATCCGTTGCTAGCCAGTTTACATAATACAAATACAGTGGTACCTCGGGTTAAAAACACCTCAGGTTACAAACACTTCAGGTTACAGACTCCGCTAACCTGGAAATAGTACCTCCAGTTAAGAACTTTACCTCAGGATGAGAACAGAAATCATGCGCTGGCAGCAGGAGGCCCCATTAGCTAAAGTGGTACCTCAGGTTAAGCAGACCTCCAGAACGAATTACCGTACTTTTCGCTCTATAAGACGCACCAGACCACAAGGCGCACCTAGTTTTTGGAGGAGGAAAACAAGAAAAAAAAAATTCTGAATCTCAGAAGCCAGAGCAGCAAGAGGGATCGCTGCGCAGTGAAAGCAGCAATCCCTCTTGCTGTTCTGGCTTCTGGGATAGCTGCGCAGCCTGCATTCGCCCCATAAGACGCACACACATTTCCCCTTACTTTTTAGGAGGGAAAAAGTGAGTCTTATAGAGCAAAAAATACGGTAAGTTCGTAACCAGAGGTACCACTGTAGTTTCACTCAGTATAAGGAAACTTCTCACAAGGAGCCTATAATGAAACTTTGACATGGGTTGTGGGGGCAAAGGAATGGGGGGCGGGAGACCATATAATACTAGTCTTGAAAGACCTACACTGGCTCCCAGTACATTTCCGAGCACAATTCAACGTGTTGGTGCTGACCTTTAAAGCCCAAACGGCCTTGGTCCAGTATACCTGAAGGAGCGTCTCTACCCCCACCATCCAGCCCAGACACTGAGGTCCAGCTCTGAGGGCCTTCTGGCAGTTCCCTCATGCGAGAATTGAAGTTACAGGGAACCAGGCAGAGGGCCTTCTCTGTGATGGTGCCTGCCTGTGGAGCACCCTCCCATCAGATGTCAAGGAAATAAACAACTATCCAACTTTTAGAAGACATCTGAAGGCAACCCTGTGTAGGGAAGCTTTTAATGTTTAATAGGTTATTGTATTTTAATATTCTGTTGGAAGCCGCCCAGAGTGGCTGGGGAGGCCCAGCCAGATGGGTGGGGTATAAATAATAAATTACTATTATTATTATTAAGCTCAAGAGGGAAAGAATGTGAAGTTGTTTCAGTTGCCCATGCCTAGGTTTGTTTACAGGCTTACCTATAGCAGCAAGTGGATATAAACAAGTAAGCCTTGAGAAAGGATTTGAAGGAAGTGCTCTGGGAGGCAAACTCCAAACATAAAACACAGCAAGGGAGAACGGGCTGAATATTTTTGAGGAGCAAGAGAGTTGGAAAGGACCCCATTGTTCATCTTGTCCAACCCCCTGCGAAGCAGGAATCTTGCTCACAGCCATCCCTGGGTGGGCTTGAACCAGCAACCTTCTGGTTAACAGCCCGACCCACTGACCCCTTGTGCCACCTGAGATCTCTTATCTTCAGCCGGACAAGGCTGGTAGAACAATAGGAGTGAAGTTCATTGAATTGTTTAATTGTTGTTGTGACTTTCCCTGGGACCTTGGAGTGAAGGGCAGGTACTAAATAATAATAATTATTAATTATAGTGATCATGATAATAATGATGATGTTACAGTGGTACCTCGGGTTAATTACTTAATTCGTTCCGGAGATCCGTTCTTAACCTGAAACTGTTCTTAACCTGAAGCACCACTTTAGCTAATGGGGTCTCCCGCCGCCGCTGCACAATTTCTGTTCTCATCCTGAAGCAAAGTTCTTAACTCGAGGTACTATTCCTGGGTTAGCGGAGTCTGCAACCTGAAGCATATGCAACCTGAAGTGTATGTAACCCGAGGTACCACTGTAATGCTTCAAAAAGCTCAGAGAGCAAGGAGAGCAAGGCAGGGGTGGAGAGAGATAAGGAGAGTGTCCTCTGGGTCTGATAGATCCTCAGTGATTTCCAGAAAAACATTGCAATTGACTCCTGAATATGTGTGGACACTACTTCCACAGGGATTAGGGAGAAGTGCACTTTGCACATTCTCAGAGCCATCGTTTACTTGAATTACCATTTCAGATATCTAGAAGTAGGCCTTGGCCCTTAAAACCTGGCTAGCTAGTTCAGCCTGCTCCTCAGCTTGCTCCCAAGGGTGTGCATGACTTTTAGGTAAAGGTAAAGGGACCCCTGACCATTAGGTCCAGTCATGGATGACTCTGGGGTTGTGGTGCTCATCTCGCTTTATTGGCTGAGGGAGCCGGCTTACAGCTTCCAAGTCATGCGGCCAGCATGACTAAGCCGCTTCTGGCGAACCAGAGCAGCGCACAGAAACACCATTTACCTTCCCGCCGGAGCGGTACCTATTTATCTACTTGCACTTTGACATGCTTTCAAACTGCTAGGTTGGCAGGAGCAGGGACCGAGCAACAGGAGCTCACCCCGTCGCGGGGATTCGAACCGCCAACCTTCTGATTGGCAAGTCCTAGGCTCTGTGGTTTAACCCACAGCGCCACCCACATCCCATGACTTTTAGATGTCCCCTAAAACGGTCAGCGGCACCGATGAACCGCATCTTCCTGCTTCTCTTTTGCGCAGCCCTGCCTGATTTCAAAAGGACCACCTTGGGAAAGTTGGTGACTGTCTCGAGAAGCAAACGAAAAAAGAAAAAAGTGTCAGTTGATGGGTCTAGCTTTGCATACATGCAGATAAAGGGGTGTGGGGCCTTCCCCTGTAATTCTGGAGTTGCAAAGCTGCACAGATGGTTTTTTTGACCTGAGTGGCTCTTCCAGTGTTGTTGGGCACCAGCTTCCATGCAATGGTCAGGGATGGAGGATATTATATTCCAGCAGCATCTGAAGGGTCACAGGTTCCCCCAAGGCTGCTGATACATACAACCAATTGGTCAACGCTGCGTGTTTCCTCAATCTGGAACATAAGCAGGGTGGTGGCATCATGCTCCCACCTTTGCAGTGACTCATACCCAGCATAGGGTGGCGCTGTTCTCAGTTCCAGTTGTCATCCAGTTCTGAAAACTAAGAAGAAGAAAGCCCCTAGGCTTTCCTTAAATGAAACACGAAAGGTTTTGTCGAGGGCTCTTTGCTGAACACTTTCGCCCTTTGGTGGAAACCAGACAATCTCTCTCTCTAGAAGAAGCTTTTTTCAAAACAACAGAAGCTTCCTCTAGAACTCGGGTCAAACTGGGCGGACGAAAGGGAATGGAATTGAATAGAAACGTGATTGCTCCTCGCGCTTTCGTGGCATGTTTGTGGGTCGGATCCGGAGAGCGGGGGGGCGGGGGGGGGGCTGACAGAAATGCCACAGTTCTGTTATTGCAGAAGGAGCACAAGTCCTTCGGCTGCCCCAAAGTTTCAGGCAGGGGAGAGGGGAGATTTCCCACAGAAACCTGGCGTGCCGCTGCTTTTTGTTCAGAATGAAAGCGCCCACTTCTTCTTCCTTTCGTTTTCTTTCTTTTCTTTCTTTTCTTTCTTTCTTTCTTTCTTTCTTTCTTTCTTTCTTTCTTTCTTTCGAGACTAATGTAACTTGCTCTTTGGTTCTAAAGGAGAGTAGCAACCGTGTTCTCTAGGCTTGTCACCTGTTCAGCCCTGGGACACGGGAAGTCATACAGTCAAGGCAGGAGGAGGGGGCCCCTGGCATTGGGGCAACACAACATTGGGGCTGGTTCACACGTTCACGTGTAATGGGTTCCTCTGCAGCGGATTCCTGAGCATACACGAGGCGAGTAGCGGTTGGACGTGTGAACAGAATCCATCCGAAGTTCTGTCTGCGCTGGCCGGTCCTTAGCCAGACAAGTCAACATCCGAGACGCAACAGTCGCGGTGGGGTGAACTAAGCACGTGTGAACCCGCCGTCGGGGATTTGAAGGGTTAGGGTTTCCAGGGAGAGGGTGGCGTGGGAGTCGCTGGCAAATCTCGTTTAGGAAACGCGGGGATGTATGGAGGAAGCCCTACGTCTTCTTCTGCGCATCTTCTCTGATGCTGAAACGCCCTCTAACGGGACGCATCCAGCATTCATCCCGCTGTCAAGCCCCGCCCCTAAAGCCCCGCCCCCCCTCCTCAGGCTCTCCGCTTGGGTCATAAAAGAGAGTTCCCCTTTCTCTCTCGCGGCTCAGTTTATTCCGGTTTGAAATCTGATTTCTCTCTCGCTCCTCGCCCCCCCACGTCTCCAAGATCATTTGGAGAAAAGGCTCTGCGCTCGCCCTCCGCGAGAGAGGAAAGAGAGAGAGGTAAGTTTGCCAGATCGCCCTCTTTTCATTCAGGGGGTGGCGAGGACAGTTGATGATGGAGAGGGAGCCAGTTCCGTGTCCAATGGAACTTAATTCGGAGTAAACGTGCTCCAGACATCCCGCTGTGGAGTGAGGTCTTTTTGACCGCCTTCAGGTGCTCTACAGATCTGGCACACGGGGACCCTCAGCCTGTGTTAAGACTGAGTTCACTCATCGGAGAGCGAGGCAAAGCAAAGCAAAGAAGTCCTGGAGTTTGGACTTGAGGGAGCCGAGTTCGAATTCCGAGCCCTCCTGGTGATCTTGAGCCAGTCGACTCTTTAACGCGCGCAGCCGCGGTGGTGACGAGAGTAAACCGGGGACAAATGCATAAAATCGTAGAGTTAAAAGAGACCAGGGTCATCTAGTCCAAACCCTGCCCTGCAACGCAGGAACCTTCTACCCAAGTTGAGGCTCGAACCCACGACCCTCAAGAGTCTCGTGCTCCACCAACTGAGCTATGGGTACCAATGCGTGGCTGCAAAGCGCAGTCCTGCCCTAGTCCCCTTGAATCCCGTAGGACTTCTCTCCATCTGGATAAGATTATTGCAGCCATAGGTGATGATCGGAAGGCCATACAGCGACGGGTTCAGGAGACGGACCATTAGCAAAGCAATTCCCACCCCCCATCCCCGCCTCTCGAGTTCATCTCGGTGGTGTGAGGGCTTAACTGGCTTGTTCTAAAGCGTCGTCTCCTCTCCCTCTCGCAGCCCTTTTTGCAAGTTGAATCTCTTTTCTACCCCTTCCGGCGGCTCCGCTCCGCTTCCCTTATCTCTGCTAGTCGAGATCGCGTTCGTTGTCTTTTATGAATGAAGTGCATTTCGTAGTACTCCGGAGAGACCGCGTGGCGTGGCGGGCAGGTGCGGGACAGAGATGTGGGTCTGATCCTGGCCCAAGAAGAGGTGATGCCGAATCACGTGGCTGAGACTTCTTTTGTGCCGAGACGGGAAGAAAGGTGGCTAAAGATTTGGCTCCTGGCCTGTCGTTTCCCTCTTTCTTTTTGGTCTGTTCTGTTAAAAGGAGGGAGGCGGGCGATGTTTTTGGGAAGCAAATTACCCACCGGATTCCTAGTCCTTTCGGTTAAAGCCTGCCCAAGCGAGGTTTCTCACCCCACAACTGCTGCAGGCTGCAGAAGCTAAGGCTCCGGGTGGTCTTTCTTTTATTTCTGATCGCAACCCGAGAGCCACGTTCTTTCGCGAGGCTCGCGCTACCGAGCTTAGTCCATTCCGATTGATCGACGGGGAGGTTAGACGACGTTCCGTCATATAACAATCGTTACTGTCCAGCGCATTCGGCTGCCTCTTTCCTTACCCTGAAAAGTGCCCTGTAAGCTGACTTTGCCACCCGAGTCCCACCCGAAAATAGCGACCTTCTGGAAGCGCCCCCGCAGACTTCAGCTAGGAGACTTCAGCCCTGTTTGTGCAAATATTCTGTGCAAATATTCTGCAAAGATACTCTTTCCTCTGACCCTAGCTATACACTTCACTTAGAAAGAGGGACCAGCTAAGATTGCAATCCTAAACACACGAGGGAGTAACACCCATTTACCCTTCCCAGCAGTGCATAATGTGCAGAGGATTCCACTTCACGACTGCGTACACTTACTCGAAAGTAAGCCCCACCAAGCACAGAGGGGTTTTACTTCAGAATAAATACGCCTGTACGTTGACACTGACCCTAAGCATGTTTACTCCAGAGTGAGCCACACTGAGTTCAGTGGGATTTACCGCCTTGCAAGTGTGTTTAGTTCTGCAGTTTTAGTTTCCGCAGGTTTGGTCTCCGGCACAGCCGCATGGATCTAAAAATCCCTTTAGCATAAGAAAGTTGGCTCTATTATATTAAGCGAGTTTTCGAACCGCACAGCGCTCTCCTTCCGGAAGGGAAAGGAAAATGATGTGCTCCCCCAAAGCTTGCTGCAAGTTTAGACCAATTCAGTAAGAAAAAGCCTGCTACTGGACTCTGTAGGGGACAGTTTCTCTTCTGATGCCGCAGTCTTTCGGAAGTGCTTTTAAAAAAAAAACAAGTTGGTGATGCCTTAGAGGGGAACAGGTGTGATGGGTCATCGCGAGCTTCCCTGGACCAGAGCTGCTTTCTGGCCCAGAAAAACGCACGAGAACAAATTTAAAAATTATTTTGTTTTTATTTATTAGATTTCTATACCTCCCTTCGTCCTAAGAGCTCACCTCGGAGGTGGTAGGAGGTTTTTGTCTCTACTAGGACAGACTTCGACGCTGCTGCCCGATCTTAATGGAGATCAAGTGATTCCAGAACTATCCTTTGATTCCCAGACTCTGCATTTAAGACCCTGGTAACCTAAACTTTGAGGACCTTCCTATTTACTCTCCTTTCAAGCTAATCATGCTCTTTAGATTAGCAGCAGCAGTGGTGGGTGGGTAAATAGTATTCAGATATATTTATATTTCTCTTGATTGCTTCAGATGATTAAGACATCGGTAGGGTTCTCGCGCAGAGTGGAAAAGTTGTTGGAAGGGGCGCTGTCCCTCCAGCCCCCAGACCCATTCGCACAGAGAGCACAGGTGAGCTGCCATGTGGGGTGGATGAACCCTAGAGGAAGGTAACTGAAGCCATTGCTGGGAGAACCTATAGGCAATGTATGTTACGGTGATATGAAGGCAGGCAGGCAAGTACTCATTTAGCTACCCTCTCCTAAAGCTAGATAGAGCCTCAGGTATCAGAGGCAGTGTATCTGGCTGCAAGAGGGAAAGCAGCAGGGGAGGTTTCTAGGAAGTTGGCTTATACCGAGTCAGACCAGTAGCCCATCTAACTCACTGGGACACGATCCGGATGTTACTGGACTCCAGCTCCCAATAGCACAAGTCACAGAATCTCAGGATTGCAGCGTTGGGAGGGACCCCGAGCGAGGATCATCTAGTCCAGTCCGCTGCAATGCAGGCACATTTCACCCCCAGTGGGGCTCAAACCCACAATCCCTGAGATGAAGAGTCTCAGTGCTCTACCAACCGGAGGTAGATCCCTCCTCCCCTCCTCATTGTTTTAGGCATCTTACCAGGGGATTCGAACTGGTAATCATGCATTACTGGGGGGCTGGACTAGATGACCCCTAGGTCCCTTCCAACTCTACAATTCTGGGATTCTGCGCACTCTTCCACTGATCTGTGGCCCTTTCCTCGTTGCATTCACGCCTCCCTTTTGTGCTTCCTGTAAGTGTGTGGATAGCTGCTGTGGGAGGCAGGATACCGTGCCGACTTTGGGTCGGATCCCGCACGGCTTACTCTCAGGTTCTACTCTCTTTATGCATAACAGATGGGTGCAGTCGACTGACCCCCCGAGTCTTCTGAGAAACGTACTAAAAAGGTGTGTTGGGTGTGTTGGTTCACAGGAGGCAGCCGTGCAGACCGCAGCCTCCTGGGCCACGGCAGAACAAGCAACAGAAGTGACTGGGACAGCTCAGTCGTTAGAGCACTGGACTCTCAATCTCACGGTCCTGGGCTCGAGTTCGGAAAGATTCCTGCATTTGCAAGGGGCTGGACTAGATGTCCCTCTGGGGTCGCTTCCCAACTCCACAATTCTGTGATTCTAAGGTTGAAAGCGGAACGGGAGCAGCTTAAGGCTTGACTAGGACTTCAGGTCGAGCACAAACTTTGCCCGCAGCACAAGAGAACCAAAGTATATTCTGAGACCAACCGAGGCAGCTGTTGAATTTCAACAAGGTTTTTTTTTTTTTTTGCCAGCTTTGAAGAGGAGGACAGAAAAAGGAAAGCACCCCGCCCCCCGAATTTGGGGGCTCGGGTTCTCTGAAAGCTGTATGTGGGTTGTGCAAAGCTCAAGGAAGGATGCGAGGGAGGGACAAAGTACTATGCGAGTCTCGGTCATCTCGTGGGAATGGCCACCGTTTGGAGAGGGAAAGCAAACAGTTCATAGAATCATGGAAGAGTTGGAAGGGGCCTCAAAGGCCATCTAGCCCAACCGTCCTGCAATGCAGGAATAAAGAGAAGGTGATTCTTGTTTTTGGGGTGGGGTGGGGGGCGCAGCAAGCGCCAGGTCTCCCGGGAAAACGGCCTGGCGAATGAAAGAAGCGGGAGAGGAAGGAACCTGGACCAAGTGATACTTAGCGCATAACTAGCCCTGCAGCTCATATTCATTTCAACCTACGAGATTTTAGTTTATAGAAGGGCATGAACCTCTGTCCAGGCGCTTTGCCGGGAGCTTCCCGTCGAAATTTCGACGGGGGGGGGGGAGGGGAGGACAAGACCAGGAGCGAAGGGAGAGCGAGAGCAAGTGGTGGATGTGAGCAAACGCAATCCTGCCTCCGCCGGGGGGTCTATGATTACCCATTTATTCCATTTCAATGAATGTCTCTGCTGTACTTAATATAATACATTCACTTTTACTATACAGTCTATATTACCTTTTTAAACTTCAACCACCTCTGCTTCCCTATAGGAAGACAGCATCCACCCGTTGGTAATAATATTTATTTGCATGTAGATAAGTAAATGTAGCCGCCGATCTCTGTAAGGCATTGCACACTTCACCAGCAGTGCAGTTCCAGAAGGAAGCCCCATTGGGTCCAATGGCACTGAAAGTGAGTCTGGGGTTGTGCCTTTCCTTGTATAAGTCTCCTGCGGCCCACACGTAAGCATTGCGGTGTGCGCAGCGTTTATTTATAGTGCTTAGCTTCGTGGTTCAGTAAGTATGCTTGTGTTTTGGTGTAAATAATGTTTATATACATACCGATCGTCTTATTTGGGGGGGTGGGGGTGGAGATGTGCCTGTGTGGCTTTTCAAAGCACTTTGCTTCGGTAATCGCCCTTTGGGATATTCGTTAATGTAGAATTTGTGCAGGTGTGCTTGTTTACCGTTGATCTCTATGGGCGAAAACCTGCTTTGGGGTGGGAAGACCTCGTTGCTTAAGGGCAGTAGCAAAGGCTTGATGTCTTCAATCGCAGCACCAGAATTTCCGCAGATCCTGCCTTGACTGGTTACATAATACCCACAATGTATTTCATTGTCGAAACAACTCCCATCGATTTTCAGCGTGGCTGGAAGATGTCCGGCAGTAGCAGCCTAGCCGCGCGATCCTCTTACCACTGGGTAGCTCCGTTTGGTTAGAGCATGGTGCTGATAATACCAAGATCGCGGGTAAGGGACAGTTGCATATTTCTGCATCGCAGGGGGTTGGACTAGATGATCCTCAAGGTCCCTTCCAACTCTTGGATTCTAGGTTTACTCGCAAGCCCCGCGAACATAGCGGTCAACTTTTTCCTTTTTTAAAGGGAAATTCCCTTATTCCGAATAGGATTCCTCGCAAGAAAAGGGAAAAGTTGACAGCTATGCCCGCGAAACTCGAAGACACTGACTCGCAGGCTGCACACATTTACTAGGGAGCTGTTTAAACAAACCCTGCGCGCGACTTAATGCCGAATAAATAGGCACAGGATTGCGCTGGAGCAGGCCGATCCTATGCACGGTTACTCGGAAATCACGCCCCCAAGGGGGCTCCAGTGGCCTTGCACCCCGTGGGAGCCCACAGCATTGCGCTGAGTGCTTTATAAGCGTTTGAGTGCTTCCAAGTCGGCGAGGGGCCAAATAGTACTGTTTGAGCGCAGCTGCGCCAACGCGCGCCGCGATCCTCGCCGGGACACCTTTTCCTAGGGCTGGCCCGAGAAAACGCGCTCAAGAGCCGCGGCGGAGGCGGCGCGTCTGGCCACTGGCGCAGCGCCATCCCCCGCGGTCTGGGTCGGCGGGCGCCCCTCGTGCCGCGCAGGCGGGAGTCCCGCCGAGCCGGGGCGGCCGCGGGTTTGTGAGCCAGCGCTTCAGGGGCGGCGGAGAGGAAATGTGTCACGAGGGCGAAGCGGCTGCTCGGAGCCGAGTCCCCTCTCGGCCTTCTCTGGGCCGGGGCGCGCGGGCGGGAATGACGGTAACAGGGCCAGCCGCGTTGGCGAGCGAATGTGAGGAGTTTCCTGCGGAGAGTCCGCGGCGTGGGTGGGAAAGCGAAGGGGGAAAGGCCTCGGCGGGGGGTTTGAACAGAGAGAGGAAGGAGGGAGAGAGAGGGAGAGAGAGAAGGACGGCGGCCGGGGAGAGAGTGGAAGGGGCTTCGGTGAGTATGAGGAGAGGTCCGGCTCGTGCCAGCCGCGAGGAAGCCCAGAATAGAGGAAGGAAGCGGGGACGGATGAGCGTCTGCAGGAGAGGGAAGGCGACAGGGAAGTGGGAGCTGGTGAGGCGCGGCTTTGGGCCATGTGGGTTGCCTGTCAGGGAAAAACACACACCAAAGACGGCTCTGAGGGGGGAGGAGTGCACAAAACGAAGCAGGCACACACAGAAAGATAATTCGGCGTGTGCTCCGAGGAAGAGCCGGTTAAGGCGAAGTGTGACCAGGAGGGCGGGAGGGGTGGAAAAACGTCGAAGGTGAGGCGACGGCTTCCGCCGGCAGGTTCCTCAGGGGCAGCAGACACCCCTCTATGCCCCTTGTCCTTCTTCCCTGGCGGGGAGGGCGGCACCATTTTGTGGCTCGCCTCAGGGGCCGCTCTGAGGTGTTTGCGAGGAGAGGAGGTGCGCGCGAGAGAGCGAGGGAGACGCGGCATAAGCAGGGGCTACTCTGCGTTGGCGCCAAACGAGCGAACGGTCTCTCTGCTTCCTCGTGAAACGGGTCTCTCTCACACACACTCTGGATACCAGGAGTGCTAACTTGACCCCGCGACCGTGGGCGCCGTGAAGTGTGCATGGTGGCCCTGGCACCGAAATTTGTGGTTGCCCGGCCCCTTCATGGGAAATTTGGGGGGTGCTTGGGAGCCAGCCGTGGTGGACACTGGCGCCCCCGACCTTCGCTTGCCCGCTAGCGAAAGGTGGGTGTGGAGAAGAAGTTCGCGCTTCTCCCGCTAAACTTGCGGAACGGCGCGTTCTGCGGTCCAGAGAGAAAGGAGCGGCGGGAGAGCCCGGAGGCGCTGAAGCGCGCGCGTGTGTGTCTGGCGCGTGGCACGTGACCCTTCTCCCTCCCGTCCGCAGGGGAGGCGCCGGAGCAGGCGACGTCGGCTGGGCGCGTGGCATGAACCTGGAGGGCGAGCGCGGCATCCACAGCACCAGCGAGGGCGGCGGCGGCGGGATGAGCTCGGTGAGCTGCGGCAACGGGAAACTCCGCCAGTGGCTGATCGAGCAGATTGACAGCGGCAAGTACCCGGGCCTGGTGTGGGAGAACGACGAGAAGAGCATCTTCCGCATCCCCTGGAAGCACGCGGGCAAGCAGGACTACAATCGAGAGGAGGACGCCGCTCTTTTCAAGGTAAGGGGTTGGCAGTTCAGATTTAGCAGATTTTGCGATCCAGTGGCTTGGATATCAGCCAGAGCCGAAGGGGCTGTTTGCATTTCCTTGCGCAAGTTTGGCTCCAGTCTCCCATCAGAAGCAAAGTGTGCATTTACTTGGAAACGGCCCGTGCTTTTAAGTGGAACTGGTTCCAGATTTAGGGTCAGGTGCAGTTAGATGATTTAGGACCATTGGGTAACGTACATGGAATTGGCTATTTTATCTTGTCAACAGTCTGCAAGGTAGATCGGACTGGAAGATAGGTTTGGCTGAGGCCACTCAGTAAACTTCCTGGCCGATCTGGGATATGAAGCTAGAGCTCATTGGTCCAACTCCACCCTCTGTCCACTTTCAGCCTCACTGGCAAATTCCACAAAGGCGCAGGGTCCTTCTGTAACCTTTAGCCTGTAACAAGTGAAAGTACATTTTCCCTAGCAGTAGAGGCTCACCTGTGACTAGTTAAAGAAATATTAGATGTTCCCTAAACTGTGTGTAGACTGAAGAAACCAAGAGGTAGATTGGACTCTGCCCCTATTAGAATTGCTGGAGAGTGGAATTAGGAGGGTCTTTTATTTTAGGGCACTTCTTTTCTCCGACTTTAAGAGAGAAATTAAATGATCACTAGTCAACGACGGAATTATCTTTTCTACCCAACTAGCATCCTAGATGCTTCTGAATTAAAATGCCAGCCAAGCTGCTTTCCTGTCACACTTGAAAGACTCCTTCCATGTTCTACAATTCCCTCTTCCTTATTTGATTAACTACCCCAAGGCGTGACTCTTTATGGCTGCAATGATGCTCCGAGTTGCACAAACTTGCATTCTGTAGACATCAATGGAACTTGTGTACAATTTTGAACAGGATTGCAGCCTTTGTCATTAAACTTCAGCAAGCACCATAATAACTGTTTAGCAAGACTTCCTTTCTAAAACTCCTTCCGTTGATTGTTATTGAATAGCATTACCTGCAGCAACACTGTTCCATTTCTGCTAAAATGAATGTAGCTAATTACTTTTAATAGTAACTCATTTTTAAAAGCAACCATTTACGCTACTGGTTGATTCCACAAGCAACGCCTTCCCTCCTTAATTACTCAGCCTTAATGTTAAACGTTGGTATGGCTTTCTTAGCTTTGTGTACTGAACTCATACTGTGACAGGTCTTTTTAAAAAGCCATCTCTTGACTTGAAAATAGTTTTTACCTTTTAGCTACCTGCAGATTCCAGTGACTAGACTGGACTTGGCAGAAGTTATTTCCACCTCAGCGTGATACGAAACAAGAGTTCATAATTCCTGACTACAGTGGTACCTCGGGTTACAGACGCTTCAGGTTACAGACTCCGCTAACCCAGAAATAGTACCTCGGGTTAAGAACTTTGCTTCAGAATGAGAACAGAAATCGCACAGCGGCAGCGGGAGGCCCCATTAGCTAAAGTGGTACCTCAGGTTAAGAACAGTTTCAGGTTAAGAACGGACCTCCAGAACGAATTAAGTTCTTAACCCGAGGTACCACTGTATGCTGACTAGGTCTGATGGCAACTGGAGTACAGCACATCCAAAGAGTCACAGATTGCACATCCCAGTTATGAAAGATTGAGTGTTTTTACATCCTTGCTCCCATCGTGTGCTGTCTGCAAGCAGGGCTCTTATTGAACTCTGCGCCACATAGAATGAGAAGACTAGAAGAAGCTGGGACCGCATCTGCCGCCATAGCTGCATTATTATTATTTATATAGTCAGGGAGACCATAGCTGAGTGGTAAAGCATCTACTTTGCATGCAGAAGGTCCCCAGTTTGATCTCTGAGGTCTCAACGTAGGGCTGGGGGAGACAACAGATGGACCAATGAGTCTGACTTTGTTTAAAATACCCAAGGTCCTAAAAAATCTGCCATTCCTTCTGCCTGCATAGAATCTCTGACATCTTTCTGAGAGGCAGTGTGGTATAGTGGTTAGAGCGCTGGACTAGACACAGGTTTGCATTTCTGCTCATGCCTGAAACTTAACTGGGTGACTTTGGGCCAATCACACACTCTCCATCCAACCTACCTCACAGGGTTGTTGTGAAGATAATACAGAGAAGGGGAGAACTGTGTCCTTGAGCTCCTTGGAGGAACAAGGTGGGATAAAAATGTGATAATAAATACACAAATAAAAACAGGAAAGCTTATAGGTGGTTAACTGCAGCCTGATTTATATATCTATTATAATACTGCACCCCTGCTTTCTCCACTCACCAACTGCCTGCCATTCCCTCATTAACCTCTTAGACTTTGAGCTTCCCACATCATGCTCACTTTTTCACCTTTGGGAACTCACTTCTGTCTTCTGTTCTGAAGTCCCGCTTTGCACCCATTTTCACCTTCACCCCATGCTTTCACCTCCCCTTCCTTTTGTGCAACTCGCTCCCACTGCACACAAACCACTTGCATGGTAACATTCTGTATCCTCCTCCCACACATCACAACTACTAAGCACCCTTTTCGTCTTCTGCCCAGTTATGAAGCTACTCCCCTCCTATTCTGCAGACTTTTAATGACCCAACAGTGGTACCTCAGGTTACATACACTTCAGGTTACAGACTCCGCTAACCCAGAAATATTGCCTCGGGTTAAGAACTTTGGTTCAGGATGAGAACAGAAATCGTGCTCCGGCGGCGCAGCAGCAGCAGGAGGCCCCATTAGCTAAAGTGGTGCTTCAGGTTAAGAACAGTTTCAGGTTAAGAACGGACCTCCGGAACGAATCAAGTACTTAACCCGAGGTACCACTGTACTTGCATCTTCAACCCCATTCCCATGCCTCTTGCACCCTCCATCTGCACCCCAGCTATCACCTTCACTCCCTTTTCCCTGCCACCCTCCTCTTCACTTTTCTCAACTCTTCCGTGCACACAGAGCATTCCATTTTCATGCTTCCTCTCTCCTATTCTACACCCCATTTGCAAAAGGCTCTGTGTTCGTTCTTTCTCTCATGTGAAGCAGCTGAAGAATGGAAGAGGGAGAAGTTTGAGTACAGCAAGAAGGGAGATTCACTGAAAGGGAAAAAAGTGGCTGTTTTAAACAGTGGCAGAAGTTTGAGTAAAGTGGGGAGTGGATAAAAACAGAGAGGAAAATGGCAATTTTAAACAACAACAGTAAAGCAGGGATGGCGTGACAGTGAGGGTATTCTTTTTTAAAACAAACAAATTTTAACAAGAAAAAATAGCAGAGATGGGTACAACACAAAAGATAATACCAAAAAGAAAACACAACAACAACAACAACATAATAATAATTTATTACTTGTACCCCGCCCATCTGGCTGGGTTTCCCCAGCCACTCTGGGCGGCTTCCACAGAAACCAAAAATACACTAAAATATCACACATTAAAAACTTCCCTGAACAGGGCTGCCTTAAGATGTCTTCTGAATGTCAGGTAGTTGTTTATCGTTTTGACATCTGATGGGAGGGGGTTCCACAGGGCGGGCTCCACTACCGAGAGCCTTTCCAAACTCCCTTCTTACTGTACTCAAATATTGCTTTAAAATGCCAGTGTGGTGTAGTGGTTAAGAGCGGTAGTCTTGTAATTTGGTGAACCATGTTCGCGTCCCCACTCCTCCACATGCAGCTGCTGGGTGACCTTGGGCTGGTCACACTTCCCTGAAGTCTCTCAGCCCCACTCACCTCACAGAGTGTTTGTTGTGGGGGAGGAAGGGAAAGGAGATTGTTAGCCGCTGTGAGACTCCAAACTCTTCTCTTCTTCTTCTACTTCCTCCCCCACATTGTCTTCCTCCCCGACCCGCTTGCTCTGCTCAAACTTTTGCCATTCTTTAAAATCACTGCTTTGTTCCTCTCAGTGTTCCTCCATCTATGCTTTACTGAAACTTCTGCTGTTGTTTAAAGCACCCACCTTTCCTTACTTTCAGTGTCTCTCCTTTCATGCTGTACTCAAACTTCTCCGTCTTCCATTCCTCAGCTGCCTCAGGCGAGAGAGATAAAGGACACGGATTCCTCAAATATTCCAAAGTATCTTTATACAATGCCACTGTTTAAAATTGCTTTCCCCCCTCTCAGTGTCCCTCCATGCTATCATGACTTCATGCAAATTCAGAATTGTGATGCAGCACTACAGATCCTTCAAGGGATTACATTTTTATTATATAAAAATCACACACACACACACATTTTATACACTGTTGTTCTAAGCTGCCCTGTGCTCCATACTGGAGGAACGGTGGGACAGAAACTATCTAATTCATAAATGAAGAAATAAAACATGTTGTGCCTACTCCATGCTGTTTTGCAGTGAACTAAAATAGCACAGGGCCTTTGCAAATGGCACAGGGTCTATATACTTCCTGTAGAACTGAAGTATCTACTATGAATCTAGAACGACATCTAGTTCTTTTTCTGCAGTCTTCTCTGCTGAAAAATGGCACTGCGTTGGAAATTTGGTTTGTAGCTGAGCTATGCCTAGGGAAGTGAAAATCTTATAGCAGCAGGGGAAAAGCTAGTGTTAGTCCCATCAGAGAACTTCCACGATGAACACACGTATCGTGCTACTTATATTGTTGAGTATAGGTATGTTTAAAGGAGTTTTTAAAAACAAGATGTTAACCACCATCAATATTTCCAGGCTTGGGCTCTGTTTAAAGGGAAGTTCAGAGAAGGCATTGATAAGCCAGATCCCCCCACCTGGAAAACAAGACTGCGGTGTGCTTTGAACAAGAGCAATGACTTTGAAGAACTCGTTGAAAGAAGCCAGCTGGATATATCAGACCCCTATAAAGTGTACAGAATAGTACCAGAAGGAGCAAAGAAAGGTAAGCTTTCATTATACAAAACAATCCCATTTATTGAGATGGTGCTGGGGTGGGGTGGGGATATACAACAGCACTATAATTACTTTAAGCAATGAAGTTTGGTGAATTAAAAATCTAATGCTTGTTTATATAGGTTTACAATAGAAGCACCTAGGGTTCAAATAACTGATGCAGTTCTGCCTGATTCTGTAAGCAAATAAATTATACAATTCGGGTGATTTGCATGTATGTTGTCTTTTATCCTGATAAAGTTTTCCAGTGACAGACTTCTATATTGATCCCCTATCTGTATAGCGTACCAAGAAACTTAATGGCTATGAAGTAGACTGAAGCAATAACAATGTCATTTTTAATGTGCAAGCTACTTTTCTCACAAGGTTCTTCAAGATACACATGCGTAAATTTCCCTGTTTTATATACACAGGAGCAAAACAGCTTAGCATGGAAGATCCCCAAATGATTATGAATAATACTTACACCATGAACTCGTCTTACTCTGCACTACCACCTCAGGTATGTATAAATACATATATATATAATATGGATGTATTTTAGCTTTGATGTCAAATTATGAAGATGTACTGATACCATTGCTGTTTCATTCCTTGATCGAGTGTGAGATTGAAAAAGAGTAGCAAAGAGTACAACTACAACTTAAGAAATGTTCCCAGAGAGTTCATAGGTGTTGCTGTGATCCGATTTTTTTTTGGAACCCATACTATTAGCTCTTATTACATTTCATATCTGTTTCATCATTTGCAGTCCAAGTATTCATCTTCATAAATTTCAAATCTTTACATCCCCCTGTAAATGTTATTTAAAAAAAATTAATTAACAACGCTGGATTTGTACCAATGCATCAGTTTCATGTGCGCTTCCTCTTCCAAGGGGACATTGGGTGCTGTATCTTCATTATTTGTAGGGGAGAGCCGGTGATGAAACACATCTTTTGTGTGCATAGAGTCCCATGTTCTGCCCCCTGGCACCTGTACTCAAATAATCTCTGGTAGCAGGTTTTGGAGAGAACACTGCGCAAGACTCTGGAGAGCATTTTGTGTTTGGACATTTTGAGGATGGCATGTAGTCCAGGTGGGAAAGCTTGAAGATTCTGTCTGCAATTAACTATAACTAAAACCATTATATGGGGACACGGGTGGCGCTGTGGGTTAAACCACAGAGCCTAGGGTTTGCTGATCAGAAGGTTGGTGGATCGAATCCCCGTTACGGGGTGACATCCTGTTGCTCGGTCCCTGCTCCTGCCAACCTAGCAGTTCGAAAGCACATCAAAGTGCAAGTAGATAAATAGGTATCGCTCCGGCGGGAAGGTAAATGGAGTTTCCGTGCGCTGCTCTGGTTCACCAGAAGCGGCTTAGTCATGTTGGCCACATGACCCGGAAGCTGTACGCCGGCTCCTTCGGCCAGTAAAGTGAGATGAGCACTGCAACCCCAGAGCGACTGGACCTAACAGTCAGGGGTCCCTTTACCTTAAAACCATTATGTGATGTGTGGGACACCACAGCCTGACCCTGCACACTTTATTCATGACCAAGAGACTGGTTTGACAGCACTGGAAGGACCACACAGCTGCTTTGAGAGCTCATTGGCCAGAGGATCTTTATTCTCCTGCAGCATATGAAAACAGTACTTTTGTCTGAAGTTGTAAGGATCACAACTATTCTGAGATCTTGGACCCCTACTCAGAGCTGTTTGCCTGACTTGCATGCCGTATAAAATCTGTCAATGCCTCTCCCGTCCTCTTTTGTTATTTTGTATTATTGGTTTTGGCCACACATACCTGCTTTTTGCAAAATTGCATTGTGAATTGACATACTTTGCTGATGTGTTTTCTTTCTCCTTAGAACTGTGATGGAAAACCTTTTTTTAAAAAATGCATTAAAAAAACACCACCACATTATGTAATATTTCGTTAAACATGCAGGTGCCAAGCTACATGGTGTCTCATGACCGTAATTGGAGGGACTATATGCCGGAGCAGTCACACCCCGATATCTCCTACCAGTGTGCAAGCGTTCCTTTTGCAGCTCGCAACCACCACTGGCAAAGCCCAGCATGTCAGAACGGTAAGAAGATTCCAGTGTTTTTAGACAGAGCTGTATCTGGTGGTTATTTAAATTGTGAAAGAAGTTGTGGTTCCTGACCCAGTGGCTGTGTCCATGTGGTTGCGAATAAGGTGTAAAGTGGATTTCCTCATTCATTTCATTAGAAGACACTGCTCAGTATATTTAGCACTTTGTGTATGTAAACGTCCCCTCTTCGTTGAAATGAATGGGGAAGCCTTGGAAAGTGGGAAAACTCTATATGTGCATTCCACTGTTGGAAGAAAGTACAATGGTATGAATGAGATTAGGCAGCCAAAAGTAAGGACTTTAAAACCTCATTTAAGGGATACGCAAGCACTTGCAAGATCCCTCTCACTGAAATCAATTGGACTTGCAGAAGTGGTTAACTTTGGAGTATGTTCTAAGGTTCCATTACAATGAGCACTCAGTATAAGAAAATGGTGCAATCTCCACAGGAGTGTGGAGTGCTTTTACTTTGAAGATTCAGAATAATGGACGAGGCAAAGTAGATAAGTCAAATGGGCCTATTTCTGATGGTGCACATAATGAAAGCTTTTCAGTGTTGACAAAACTGATGTTATTCTGCTGCATAAGAGCCAACCCCTAGGGGCTGAGGTCTTTTTGACTCCCCAAAATAAAATATTTCAGGAGGCCAGGGCCCTCCAAATTTCATGGGCATTGCCAATCAAATGGTGTGTGTGCACCACATCATGTGATCAATTATGTAGCATCCTCCAGTATTTTAGCCAAGTTGGCACCCCTGTTCTGCATAGTGGGGTCACCAACATGGTGCATGCAAGCACACATGTGCCTGCCAAAGCTTTTCCTGGTGCCCACAGTAACCCCTCCTCACACCACACCCATTGTAGTCTGGCCTGAAAGAAGAAGAAGAGGAGTTTGGATTTGATATCCCGCCTTTCACTCCCTTTAAGGAGTCTCAAAGCGGCTAACATTCTCCTTTCCCTTCCTCCCCCACAACAAACACTCTGTGAGGTGAGTGGGGCTGAGAGACTTCAGAGAAGTGTGACTGGCCCAAGGTCACCCAGCAGCTGCATGTGGAGGAGCGGAGACGCGAACCCGGTTCCCCAGATTACGAGACTACCGCTCTTAACCACTACACCACACTGGCTCTCTCAGAAAAGACTTCTTTCTTTTCTCTTGCAACCCAAAAAAATCACCCTCCCCTCCTGCAATTAGTTTTTTTAAAAAATAAAATACTATGATAGAAGGCTTTCCCCAAGCCCAATTGCCTGTGTGTGTGTGTGTGTGTGTGAGAGAGAGAGAGAGACAGAGATAACTTCCTGGAGTGGGTTAACCAGTTCCTGCTCAGCCACACTCTCCAGGAAGATGACGCCCCTCCCCTTGCCAAAAACAAATTAAGTTTGAAAAAAGGCTGAAACACTGTTCCCTGTTGGAGGGCAGATGGGGTTGAGAATGGATGATTGTGGGGCATGTATATTTGCATGGCTATGGAGTGTGCATAGAATCATAGAACTGTGGAGCTGGAAGGGACCGTGAGGGTCCTCTAGTCCAACCCCCTGCAATGCTGGAATCTTTTGCCCAGCGTCAGGCTCGAACCCATGGCCCTGAGGTTAAGAATTTCATACTGTACCAAATGAACCCTGCCAGCTGCCTGTGTGGTTGCAGTGCGGTGCCAGTGCCTATTACTCAGGTTTCCAAAATTGGCAATCGCTGCTCCAAGTGCTTCATAAACATGGAATGCGTTCAGTGAAGCCTGTCAAATAAAAGCATATTGCTTTATTAATTTTTGGCTTCCCTCTTTCACCTACTAGCTCATGAGTGAATCTGGCTGATTTCAACGCAATACATTATAAATGAACAGATATTTAAGGCACAATGATACACCCCAAGTCAACCACTTCTCTAAGTCCTATTGATTTCTGTGGGAGAGTTTATCACTTAGATGCTTTTGCATCTCTTTCAATCCTAACCATGAATCATTAAAGCTGAATGCCTGAAGAACCCCCTTGAGGGTTTCCTAGCTCTGTGACATCACAAAGCCAGCTGATCCTATGCAAAGTAGGTTTTAGTTTTAAACTTGCACAACCGGGCATTCTTGCTTTCCTTTTTCTTTTTCTAAGTGCTTAGCCTAAGAGGGACAAGTAGATTTGGATGCAATCTAGTGAAAGCATTCCATACTGTTTCCAATGCTGTATAAATGTTAAATCTGCCTTCACTCTAAGGCTGCAAGCCTGTGCGATGTAGTAATTAGAGGGCTGAACTAGGATCAGAGTGACCCAGGTTTAAATTCCCATTCCACCAGAAAATTTACTGGGTGATGTTGGACTAGTCACTATCTCCCAGCTTGGCCTGGCTCATAGCAGTGCTGCCAATTCCAGGGGGCCACAGGGGCCCAGACACCCACAAATTTTTTTTTGCTGTGGGTGCCCAGCCTCTGCCCCCTGCCCATGCTGCCTGCTGCCTTGCCTCTGGTGTTGTGGCACTGCAGCAGCGACTGGCCCTGTGCTCTGCCGCAGGGTCTCTGTTGGGGCTCATTGCAGCTGCAGACATGCTTCCAGAGTGCGACTACTGCTGCAGCAGGCCCCAATAGAGGCCCTGCGACAAAGGTGCAGGCCCTGGCCCAGTCGCCACTGCGGCAGCAGAGCGCACATGCACCATAACATTGCATTGTGGTACGGCATCACAGTGTCACAACAGGACAACACAGCGTGCATGCGCTGGGCACCCACAGTCTGGGGCCCAAGTTGGCACTACTGCCCCATAAGGTTGTTATGAGAATAAAGTGGATAGAACCACACATGCTACTTTGAGTACCTTGGAGGAGCGAAAAACTAAACACATTTACTAGAAAGTAAGCCCCTGAAGTCATTCCCAGTGCCATGCCCCTTCTGGAGTCATGCAATGGTTTAAAGCAGCCTTTCTCAACCTGTGGGTCCCCAGATGTTGTTGAACTACAACTCCCATCACCCCTAGCTAGCAAGGCCAGAGCTCAGGGATGATGGGAGTTGTAGTCCAACAACATCTGGGGCCCACAGATTGAGAACCGCTGGTTTAAAGCATCCACGAGGTACCACTTAGTGTGAGGAAGTACAGAAGCACCAAGGGATCCATCTCTGCAGCCAGCACAAGGCCCTCCAAACTCAGCCGAAACATCCAGAGTCCAGGAGAAGGGAAGCATCTGCCAAGGTTTTCGTAAACTACCTGTGAGCACTGCTGAAAGACAGCATATAAACAAACAAACAAAATGTGTTCAGGTCGAAATGGAAGGTGAATTTCTCAGACTGGAGGGAGAAAGCCTTCAATGGATTTTGGACCGCTTGGCAACATAGTTTGTGAACAGAAACTTTTTGTTTGTGAAAGCAGGTTGTCAGGTAACTGGAACCTTTTACGCTTGTGCGCCACCCGAGGCACAGACTCCTGGGATCCCAATAGAGCCGAGCATAAGGTCTGGTGAAGCTCTTCCATTGTCAGGTATATAAATAATTCAACAATTGGCACGTAACAATGATTTCATGAGAGCCCTCTCATAACTTTCCAGATAAGTTTCACACACACACACAGACCCTTTCCCCGTGAGCTCAAATGAGAGGATAACTCTGAAATTTCCATCAATGTTTGGTTGTCTGATTTGGTTTAAAAAAATGTAAGGTGAATACAGGGTGTGCATACATGTTGGTTGTGCACATTTATATGAAGTGTGGAGAATGTTCACAGACAACATGAACAAGGAATTTTGTGCAGTGCCCAGTCAATATGCGTTGAATTTTGGGCAATGCCTAGTGAATGTGCCTGGGTTCCAAATGATGTTGGAAAATGGTGGCCAAAGTCGATTAGGTGGTGTGTTTATTGGCCAGTCAAAGCAGGAAGCAACCAGAGAGAGCTCCTCCTCAATAGAAGTTCCTATCTGTGGAGTTCTCTCCCAGGGATGACCTGTTTAGCACCAACCATGTTATCCTTTCAGTGTTAAGCAAAGGATTATCTCAGACACTTGAATATATTTTCCTCTCTTTAGATGGTTGGTAAATATTTTATATTATATTTGAAAACTGCTATGGAAGTTCCACTGAAGAGCCGCATATAAATATTTAAATAAACAAAATTATCCTGTCGGGGACTATGTGGATTACCCAGGCAATCAGTGAAACGTATGTGGATGTGTTGCACATCAACCAGGCATTAAAGTACAACTGATCAGTTAATTTCCCCCCAAATCATTTGGCAACGACTCATACCGTCGGCTGTAACATTCCCTGTTGATGGTTTGGTAAACTTTCTCCATCCTGTCATGTGAGTGTACATTATGACTGATGTTCATGCACAACTACTAGTCAATTCCCATTAATGTACATGTTGACAAGAATTCCGTACCGCTTAAGCTTTTGCACAAAGTTATTTTTAGTGGCGTGTTTGTAGATGTGTTATCTTGGTGTAAGGGTGGCTCATTTCACTAACTACCTCTTGCTGCCCATACCTGCAGCACAACAGCCATATTTGTTACTTGCTCCAATGTTCCACCACCAAAAAAAACCCCGTGGAACAGCTACCTATCAGCTATCAAGTAACCTGCATTTTGACTTGGCCAACAAGCAAGGCTACTGCATAGCTCAACTCAGTGAATCATAGGAATCACTATGCCAATACCCTCATAACCAGCATTTCCCCAGCTAATCTGCTGTGTGGCACAATCATACACATATTTAAGTCCCACTGTGCTTAATTTCCTAGCAAGTGGTTTTAAAATTGCATATGCATTCTCAGGTTCAAAGTCTGCCACTGAAAAGTGGTTTGAAGCCACATCTCTGAGATGCTATATGTCACTCAACCTCAATGCTTCTTAGCTTCCTTGTAGATGTTACATGACATGCCATTGTCTGGTGTCCAACGGTTAACAACAATTCTGCATAAATATGCTTTCAGATTGTCGATTGCACATCTGTCTATATTACCATGAAACTCTTGTGAAAGAAGTCACTACTTCAAGTCCTGAGGGGTGCAGAATATCTCATGGCCAAAGTTATGAGGTCAGCGGGCTGGACCAAGTTCTTTTCCCTTATCCGGAAGATCACAACCAGAGGAAAATAACTGAAAAATCCTTAAGCCACCTGGAAAGGGGAGTAATACTCTGGATGACACCTGACGGACTCTATGCTAAGAGACTTTGCCAAAGCAGGATCTATTGGGATGGTCCTCTGGCATTTTGCAACGACCGGCCTAACAAACTGGAAAGGGAGCAGACATGCAAACTTTTTGATACTCAGCAGTTTTTGTCAGGTATGTATGTTACAGTCATAAATGCATCCTTGTAGGTTGTGTGATGCAAGCTTCTTATTTTGTCATAGCAGTGGGTTTCAGAAGGAGCTGGATACACATTCAGTCTATTTGACCATAGCATGAGCTGAAATATTACCTAATTTGCTAAAAATTTCTAATTAGCCTTCACTTGAGAAATGTAATGTAAGCTCACCAGTTGTCCTACTGTTGGCTAATAATGCTTCTCACACACATTTTTTTGCCTGCTCTTCAGTGGTGTAATATTTCAGAAGGTGTTTTTTTTCTTATCTGCATTCTTAAATGCTCCTTTAGTCTTTGGTGTCCAGGGTGCTAACACTTACAGTTATAATGTGTAACTTTTGGTATGTACAACACTGGCTGTTTTGCAATGAAAATAACATTGATATAAGATTGTGCAGCTTCAGGTTTTACTTCGGTGAGATCAAATGGGCTAATATAAACACATCTGCTTAATTAGAGACTGTGATACTGGATATAGAAACAACTGGACTGAAATTAACATTTCTTATCTCCAGCAAATTTGAAAGTGGAATATTTTAAACAGATTATTTAGTGGGGGTTTTTTTTAAAAAATGGAAGCACCATTTTATAGATTTGCCTTTTTGGATTCCAATAGTCTTTATTGTAAAATCCCCATAAACCCCCAGTTATACAATTCTGAGTGAACAAATAATAGATTGTAACTCCGCTAAAGGCATGTGGGAGACTTGTGTCTTCTCCATACATATTTTAGAGGTTCTCCTCTAAAATCTGGGGTCTTTTCTGGAAGCCAGCCAGCTCTGGTTTCTCCCAGCTTGAGACAACCATGGCATACCTGGAAGCACTCAATAAACTGGAAACAGTAATGTCCTGCCAAATTGAGAGAAATTTTGTTACGCTTATGTAGCTGATCAGAAAGCTGGAAAACCAGGGAAGTTTACAATTTTCAACATTGCTGGATAGGATGTTGCAGATATGTACTGATTTGGATTCTAGATTTTGTTAGGTCTTTTGCCATCCTCATTGCCACATCTTTTGATCAGTATTATAGGCTGATTTTCCATGATATTTGTTTTTCTGCCATAGCTCTGAAGTTTAGTCCTACATAATAGCTTGAGTATTTTCTGTTGGCTTTCCAGAACTACAAGTATTTGCCCACCATGGGCGGCCGTTGCCTAGATTCCAGATTGTGTTGTGTTTCGGTGAAGAGTTTCCAGATCCACAAAGGCAAAGAAAACAAATTACAGCCCATGTAAGTATAAACGATTTGATTTGCTTGAAACTAGGGGTATGCAAATATATTAAAGGGGGTAAGGGGAATGCTTAAAGTGAATTAATGTAATCCAATATATTCAAATAATGTTGAAAAATAGCATTGAAATGAAATGTAAATCACCACTCTTACAGCTAGGCAGTACCGTATAACTGAAACTTCCTTAAGTACAATAATCGCCTGGAAATATGCAACACCAGTTTCTGAGTGATTCACATCTGTGATTACACTTCTGATTTAAGCTAAATGTTACAACAATTCAAATATTCTGAAATTGGAAATCACGGTTTATTTCAATACTGCTAAATAAACTAGACATGAACTATAAAGAGGGGGCTTTCTGGCTTGCCACCAATTGTTCATGCTGTGTTGATGTTTTTATAGCATTCTACAAAGCTGTACTAAATTATGCTTTGAGCAAAGTGGATGAGTGGAAATCTCACCCCCTTACTTCCATAGTGATTCCCTCCTCCCACTTACCTCATGCTCCATGCATTCTGTGTCCTTACAGCTAACGCCTTTCATCCTCCTTTATTTAGGGCTATTTAGCCTATAATTCCATAGGAACGTGGGTGGCGCTGTGGGTTAAACCACAGAGCCTAGGACTTGCCGATCAGAAGGTCAGCGATTCGAATCCCCATGACGGGGTGAGCTCCTGTTGCTCGGCCCCTGCTCCTGCCAACCTAGCAGTTTGAAAGCACGTCAAAGTGGAAGTAGATAAATAGGTACTGCTCTGGCGGGAAATTGCGCTGCTTTGGTTTGCCAGAAGCGGCTTAGTCATGCTGGCCACATGACCTGGAAGCTGTACGCCGGCTCCCTCGGCCAATAAAGCGAGATGAGCGCCGCAACCCCAGAGTCGGTCACGACTGGACCTAATGGTCAGGGGTCCCTTTACCTTTTAACCTATAATTCACAAAGCTGTTAAGCCAGAACATCAGTGCACCAGTCTCCTAAATGGCTTAATTAGGTTGTGAATCAGGTTGTTAATTGTGCATTCTATTATAAACAATACTAAGAAACATTCAGTAGAAGAATTAGCTGTACAAGATCACATTATTTGACCAAGGTAATCTTGGAGAAATAAGATAATCTATGTTTTGAGCATCAGCGTAAGTTGTTTCGAAGTACACATAATACCTGAAATTATCATATTAGTTACAGTGGTACCTTGGGTTACAGATGCTTCAGGTTACAGACACTTCAGGTTACAGACGCTTCAGGTTACAGACTGCGCTAACCCAGAAATAGTACCTCAGGTTAAGAACTTTGCTTCAGGATGAGAACAGGAATTGCACGGCAGTGGCATGGCAGCAGCACAAGGCCCCATTAGTTAAAGTGGTGCCTCAGGTTAAGAACAGTTTCAGGTTAAGAACAGACCTCCAGAACGAATTAAGTTTTTAACCCGAGGTACCACTGTAACTTTGTCCTGAAAGCTGTGTGTCAACGTAGCACTGAGTGACTCCTTGCATGAGTGGATTGACTTCTGCCTGCACAATGGGACTCCCCCCTGCCCTCCCCCCCCCTTGCCCGCTAAATCTGTTCTCTCTGGAGCAGATTTGGGGGTAGTGCAGGGCATGTGCAGGGGAAGGAGTGGGGAAATCCCATTGTGGGTAGAAATCATTTTACTTGTAGATTTAAGTAGATACCACCCTACGTTTGGTTGCGGGTCTTTTCTCTCTCTCTCTCTCTCTCTCTCTCTCTCTCTCTCTCTCTCTTTTACAATTTCCGCTGCAACAATCAACTGTAAAAGTTGATAATGTAAGGAAGATTTAGCTCTTATTGCAACTGATCAAGTAGGCAATTCACATAGTGAAGTGGAATAACATTTCAAATATCCCTACCACTCCCTTTGTACGCCTGTGTGGAGTTTTTGCTATCTCCAGGGCTATGCAGGAGCGCCATACTTTTAGAAAGACCATGTTCAGCAAGGGAAAATATATTTTTGTCGTCATTCGCGGTAGGCAGTAGATGTTTCAGGTAAATGTTAGTCCAAGACACATAAAGGATCTCAGACCTGGTATGTTCTGAAGCCTGCGCTCGTACATGTGTATAGGCTTCTGTGTACATGAAACGGTAGTAGAATGTTGGACAGTGCCATGCCTGTTTCTTAGAAACAAGTCCTGCTGATTTCTGTGGGCCTTGTTCCTAGTATGTGTGTACAGTGGTACCTCTGGTTACGTACTTAATTCATTCCGGAGGTCCGTTCTTAACCTGAAACTGTTCTTAACCTGAAGTACCACTTTAGCTAATGGGGCCTCCTGCTGCTGCTGTTGCGCGATTTCTGTTCTCATCCTAAAGCAAAGTTCTTAACCCGAGGTACTATTTCTGGGTTAGCGGAGTCTGTAACTTGAAGTGTCTATAACCTGAAGCGTCTGTAGCCCAAGGTACGACTGTAACTTATATGATAATTGCAGGTATTACGTGTACTTCAAAACAACTTACACTGAAGCTCAAAACATAGATCATCTTATTTCTCCAAGATTACCTTGGTCAAATAATGTGATCTTGTACAGCTAATTCTTCTGCTGAATGTTTCTTAGTATTGTTTATAATATACAATTGTTTATAATTAACAATCTGATTCACAACCTAATTAAGCCATTTAGGACACTGGTGCACTGATGTTCTGGCTTAACAGCTTTGTGAATTATAGGCTAAATAGCCCTAAATAAAGGAGGATGAAAGGCGTTAGCTGTAAGGACACTGAAGCGTATGTAACCCGAGGTACCACTGTATATGATTGTTACTGGAAAGAAGCATGTGCTGATAAAATTATGTATCTTCAGCAAGTCCATTGGAATTGATGAAACTAGATAGAACACAAATGAAATGCTTTCTAATGTGGAACTCCGTTGACTTGTCATGATTAATATATATATTCAATATGAATGAATCAGACCATCTGGCTATGTGTCCCATTAACCTTTTTATCTTTTAAGGTTGAGCCCATGTTTGCAAGGCAGCTATACTACTTTGCACAGCAAAACACCGGACCTTTTCTAAGAGGCTACGATATACCAGAACAAGTCACCAGTTCAGAAGACTACCATCGAGCTCTGCACCATTCCTCCGTTCCAGAATAAGCATGTGAAAATCGGTGCCTTGAAGCATCGTGTTGGATGTCATGCATAATGCAAGAATCGTTGGTTCACAGCTACGTGTTATAAGTAAATGCTTGGATTTCCCCTGGAAAATGAACAACAACAACAACAACATATAAGTTCAAAAAATGGTTGTGGTCAAGCCTAAAAATATATTACAATGGACACATGCTCTCCTCCCTCCTTTTTTTTTTTTTTTTTTTGGATTGCTGTACCTCAGATTGTAACACTGGGGTTGGCGGTAGAAACTGACAAAATACTTCCTATGTTTACATGTTCTTAAAGGGAGGCAGTGTCTTATAGATGACTTGAACTTATTTCAGACTCTTAATTATTTATTTGATTCGAAATCTCAGGGCAAGAATTCCTAGACCGAAGCAGCAGCTTACTTAAGATATAAGGGGGTACTCAAAAGCACATTATTCAACAAAATGGAATTATTCTGTAATTTTTATAAGTATACTATTTCGAAAACATCTATGTAGTCTTTAAAGAAAGTTGCAGTGTACAGGTGTATGGTTGTTTGTTTTTTTAAGAACTATAATTTCTGACATTTTTTCCACGTTTTTAAAAAATGTATATTGTCGCTCTTTTGAAAAATGGACAGCAAACTCTGCATCAGGATTATTCCTAGGATAAATGTTTTATTATCATGCTATGTTATTTATGCCATTATATGTCATTTTCATAAAGCTCATTTAATGCTTAGTAAGCAGTCAAAGCTTCTTTCCAATAACTGCTGGATTTGCTGTGCAATCCTATACATGCCTACTGAGAGTTCAGTAGTACTTGCTCCCAGGGTACGTATGTATAGCCCTGCAGCCTCAGGCATTTTAAAAACAATTACCAAAGAGTGAAACACATGTTTGCACAGGATTTAAGATGAATCAGTGTAAATCTATATACAAACCGATTGTGAACTCACAAGCGCACTATAGTTTAATTTGAGCCATCTAAGCACTCAAAACAGTATTTGGACAAATTCACAATTGACTTTATTTTCAGAATTATTTCTTCTGAGCGATAATGTTGACAGACGTTACATAAGTAACTATGTGACCACAAGTGATTTCCTTTTTTAATATTAAAATTTATTGAATTTCAAAAAAGCAAAACAAAAAACCCCACAAAACAACTTCAACACACATTTTCCTTAATGTTTTGACTTCCCACCCTTACCTCCATGTTGTTTTTATTTCCATCACTATTTTAATTTTAAAAGTAAAGGAAGGACTGAAATTTCAGGTTAGTGGTTATTTGCTTGATCAGACATGTCAGTATCAAAGCAGCATATTCTAATGAATCATAGGAAATAGTCATCAAGATCCCTTCCTTCCTTAAAAACTATTTGTAGGTGTGTGTTTTTTCCTGCATTGAAGTATTAAAATAAAAAATGTGTTCTACTTGAATTTCTAATCAGGGACAAATTGTATATTTTTATACAATTGGCAGAAGACCCATGTTCTAATCCCCCCCCCCCCCCGAATTTATACATCTTAAAGATGCATGATGCCTTGGGATATAATATCCATTTTCTTCTCCTAAATAGCCAGTCCTGTCACCTGGCACATTTTTTCCTGATGTATTTAGGCTGTAATCCTTACCATGCTTACTACAGAGTAAGGTCCATTGACATTGCGGGACTTACTTCTGAGTAAACACACATATGACTGTACTATTAATCTTATTCAGCTTGAAAAATTGATAGGCGCTGCATAGCTGTTTGGTTATATTCAGGCATATACATTTGTGGTGTTGATCCATTCAGCAAAGAAGCACGTTCTCTCTTTTTCTCTCTCTCATGTGTGACAGACCTTTTTTTTTTTGCTTGCAGCCCCCTCCCCTTTATTTTGTTGGTTGTATAAAGAAATGTTATTTCTGAATTCCAGTTATGAAATGCGGCTTATGTTTAGTTTTCAAAGGCTTGATGACTACATACAAGGCAGTGTGAAATCTATGTTTATAGCACACTGGTTCATAATTCATTACTTGGAGGACAGCCCTATTGATTTGAATGGAAGATATTTCCAAGTGGTACAAAAAGCACTTCAGTGGCAACTGTGGAAAAAATGTATATATAAATGGAAAATGCTGGTGCGTGCTGTAAACTACTTCAGACTGGATTCAAACACTTTTATCTAAGGTGGCATACTGGTTTCCATAGCATGAGCATTTTGTGTGTGCGTTTTTTCTCCTGAACCAACTTTCAACTGAATGGACACTCCTGTTGTTTTTTAAGAGGGTTCTTTTTAAAAAGGTGAAATGTCCCCCCTGTAGTAGAAAAGAATGGGAAAGATGGCCAACTGAACTAGTAGCATTCAGTTTGCTGTCCAGTACATCTTTCAAATGACTTTTACAGGCATAAGAACTCAGGCCTGAGCTATGGGAGGAGAGAGCAGTAATTTTGATTTCCAAGATATTTCTGTATACAGCCTAGTCTTCATTATAAGGAGTTGCAAAGGTTACCAAGAACCAAATTGTGTTTTGAATATCCAAGGCAGAAGGGAGTGCTTTTTCCTACTGATTCATTTATGCAAATTGAGCTTTTGCAGTGTCTTATCTTATGGGGTTTTTTTAGCATTGGAAGGAAGCTCAACGTTAGCAATTTGTTTTAGGATTGCCAATATTTTTTGGGGAAATGTATGGAAACCACAGTTGGAAATGGCTTTGGCAAATGTGATATATGCAAATAGCTGTGTTCCAGAATCCAGAAAAGTGTATTATTTCAATGGGCTGCAATATTTGTTTGTAATTAAATACAAATGAACTTTGGAAGACTGCAGTTTTGAGCCAAGGAATCTATTTTCTGCTTACTATTTTCACTCAAAACCACCCTTTTCCAACTGCCCTACCCACACTGTTCCACATATGTGCTCTGCTTGTATGTGAAACACATTGGGGAGAAAAGACACTGGGGAGAAGGAATTTTGAGCAGGAAAAGTGATGTCAAAAAAGGGGACGAGAAGCTCTGTTTCTATTCACCCACCCTCTGTTCAAAATCTGCTCATCAATTTGAAGTTGCTTGCCAATTAAAAGAGGTCAGGGTGATGTAACAGACCTTTCTGTGTAATGTTGAGTTTACCCTTAAGCGAAAGCTTAAATCTCAAAATTATTTGGGTTTTGTTGGATCGTGCCTTCTGTATTGTTTTGAGGTGCAGTGTTTACAATTTCTAACCACATTTCTTTTTTAAGCAAGTTCCATAGCACTTAAACGAAACTTCCTTTTAAGTATTTGGGATCACAGGTGTGCTCAGAGTATTTAGTTTCAAGGTTTTATTTTGTCTAGTTTCTGCAGGAGCAGCCGAGGAAGCTAGTGATAGAACAGATAGAAATACTGGATCAAGTTGGTTATGAATACAGTGGTACTTTGGTTTAAGAACAGTCCAATTTAAGAACGATTTGGTTTACAAACTCCGCAAAACTGGAAATAGTGTCTTGGTTTGAGAACTTTATTATGGAATCCGAACAGTGGAAGGGCACCGGCGGCGGGAGGCCTCAGTAGGGAAAGCGCGCCTCAGTTTAAGAACGGTTTCGCTTTAAGAATGGACTTCCGGAATGGATTAAGTTCGTAAACCGAGGCACCACTGTATTGGCTAGTAGTAGAACAGAGCTATAAATGTACTATTAATTGTGAAAAAACAAAGCTGGATTTTTGAGACATTGTTTGAAATGTAATATTGTAAAATAAAGTGATGAATTTTTAGTCTCTTTCCCAGTGTTGCTTTCAAACACATCAATGGCTGAAGGGGGGGGCTTCTGAACAACTTCCTGTTTCTGTTCAAATTTTGCTTATATCCTCTTGAGGTCTACTTTCTTCCTGCTGTTGAAATCTTATCTCAAGTCTTTTAGCAGCTCATAAGAATATAAGTAGATTCCTGCTAGATAAGACAGAAAGACCATCTAATCTAGCATCCAATTCTCCCAGAGACCAGCTAAGACATGAATGAAGGGTATGAATGAAGCATCATTCTTCCCACTTGCAACTGGGGTTCAGAGGCATATTGCCTCTGCTACTAGAGGTAGTTACACAACCATCACAGCTAGTAGCCTAGCCTTACCCTCCATGAATTTGTCTAAACCCATTTTAAAGCCAGCCAGGTTGGTAGTCATTACTATATATTGCAGTAGCAAATTCCATTGTTTTATGCAATCATATACATTTATCTCTCTCTTCTTCTTTTTTTTAACTTTTATTGATAAATGCAATACTTACAAACACAAACCAGAACACTAAACACACTTATTATACATAGATACATACACCTCTCAACTTAGATTACAAAAAAGAAAACAAACATACAAACTAAACATACAGACATAAATTTTGACTTCCTTCCACCTATATGTGGCTTTCTTTGTTTTTTTTCTTCTTTTCACTGTGTTATCAATATTATTTTTGACTATCTCATCTTATACCCATTTCTTCTTAATTTTTTACTCTATAAGTTTCATTCATTGCATATTGATATATTAACACCAGAACAATGTTTTTTTGATATATTCCTTCACGCAAGTCCACTCCTCTATTGGTTTTTGGTCTGACTGGCCTCTTACCACTGCTGTAAGTCTTGCTGATTCTATATATTCACAAAATCTTATTTGCCATTCTCTCTTTTTAAAAAAAATAATATTTATTAATTTTTCAACCATTTAAACGCAAGAAAGCAGAAAAAACAAAAAAAGCATAACAAAATAAGACACAAACCATTTAAAACACAAAACAATTTCAATATCTTATCTTTCATTCCCTTATTTCCACGACCTCCTCACACCTCCCTTTTTGTATTCCACTTCTGTTAATTGTTTCAGCAATTCCTTTCCATCTTCCTCTGTTTTCTATCCTATAATTATCTTAACATATTCTAACCTTATTTTTCCCTTTAATACTCTATTAATCTATTTATACTTAATTCCTTATAGCATTTCTACTAGAGCCATATAACTTCATTCCAACATTTTTCTTACATTCATTATTTTTACAGTATTTCTATAAATAGTCTTAAATTTCAGTCGAAATGTCAGTCGATATAATTCCCAAGAGGTACACCTCTGTTTGTTTTGTTTTTTACATGATATTTTAAGCATTTTTTAAAGTTCCTCTTGAATGTCACTCCAAAATTGTTTAATATACACATACTCCCACCCCATAGCAATCATATTCACTTCTCTTGGACTCTGCCT